TAAGGATAGAGGTCCGGGATCTTCGAGATACTAACTATATCCTTAGCCGGCGCCGGAGAGAGAAAAAGACCCGCCTATAGAATAGAGGGATTATAATAGTAAAGGAAGGTTAAGTATTAATTAATTAGAAGGATATAGATTCGTAGTTAGTAGTTAAATCATTAAGGAGAGGTAGTCGGGTAAGGTTAGTATAGCTAGCTATAAGGTATTATAGTATATACGGGAAGGCCGGCTATAATCCACGAATATATTAGGCTAAGGTAGAGGTATCTAGAGATAAGTATAGCGATTAGTTTAAACTAATTAAATAATTTATTATATTTTAATTAAAGATCTTATTATAGGGATTAAGGAAAGTGGCCGGCTCGCTTGTCTGGCCGGTTCGCTTATCAATCACGTTATACTAGCTTGAGAAGGTCGATCTAAGATTTTTAAAAAATAATAAAACTTACAAGTCATATCTAATAATACTTCACATTAATATTAATGTAAGAATAATGCCTAGATCCAAGGCTCTTTACTCGGATTGAAATATAAATTATATTAGAAATATATATTAAACCCATTATATTGTAATAAGCTATAGCTATGAATAAGTAATAAGGGCCCGGATGTAATATTTATACTAGTATGGAAGCGACCTGAAGGGCTTTCTCCAGAGACTAGCTACTTTATTACTACCGAAACATACACTACAACAGCCCCGTGTTGAGTCCAAGGCCAGGAACCGAGAACGGGTCTTAGCCCTCGAACTTCCAAGGGCCGTTCTTCTATCTCGCCCGGATCTCTCACCAAGACTCAAGGTGACAGTGGTGCAGTCTCCTCCGCAGTATCGATCCTGACCCCATCACCGCTTTCCACTGGTGGTTGATAGAGCAAGTCAACGTCTCGCAACCACATAGAGATCATATATTCCATGACTATGCGAGAAAAGATTGCTGAGGCCAGCAGACGCAATGCAATGGGCACAGCATCCACCACCGAGACGAGCAGGACGCTCGAGAAGATGACGGTCCCAAAAATGAGATGCAGGACAGCAGCCATAGCAGTGAACCATGTCAAGAGCACGGAAACCATACTAGGTGGTCTAATCTCTACTTGGACCTTTCTCCTCCTGCCGCCCCGTGATACAGACAGTCCGCCCGCCGGCTGTCTGTCGATCTCGGACATCTCAATTGTGTCGGCAGCCACCTCCGCATATCTAGCTATCTCGTCATGTGTCGTCGTTGATGCCGTTCTGCTGCCAGCAGCGATAGCAGCGGGACGGCGTTTGAGCCGAGGCCACACCGCCAGGGCACCCGAGGTGTGGATTATCAATCCGGTGAAGATCCATAATACGAAGAGCCAGCGTTCTTGGCCGGAAAAGTTCAAGACCGTATTATACAGACTCCAGATGACATGGGCGACGTTGGCTAAAGATGCCAGACTGAGTAGGTAGACAATCGGCCATCCTATAATCCACAGCGCGAGCCTTCTTCTCACGGGATTTCCACCCTCAATCTTGCCGTCGCGTACGGACAGTAACCTGTAGATCCAAGGCGGGAAAACGAAACGCTGGTGCAAGTCGGTGCCGCCTCCACCAACGCTCCTGGTCAACAGAGCTTCCACAAGCCCCGAGCCTGAAGAGAGCGAGGGCGGCAGGATAGGAGAGGCGGTGGCTAAGAGAAGAACAAGCGGATGGCGCAGTGGATGCTTCCCTATCCTGACAATGACGCCCGCCTGCCACGCCTCCGGTGCGAAGAAGGCAGTGACACTCGGTGCTAGACCGAGGACAACCTGGGCGCTCGCCATATTGAGCTTGACACTCTCGGGCATATGCTTGAGCATGCACTCAATAACGACTCTTGACCGCGTCACAGGCTCGAATATTGCAAAAACGTTCTCCTCGGCGGGGAGCCCATCCTGGAACTCGTGTCGGACGCGCTTGTCGTCGCCGAATTCCAAATAGAGTTGGTACTCGTCTGCGCAAAACGACTCTTCGCGAAGCATGAATTGAAATGCGGATCGGTAAGCAGGAAAGAAGTACCTAAACAGCGGTCGGGAGGTGGCATTGGTAGTTCCGACGAGGAGGCCGAGCAAGATAAGGAACGCAGCATGACTTGAGCGACCCATTGTGGACTTCCAGCGTTGAGCTTTCCTAGATGGACTGGGTTTCTCTCGAGTGGAGGAGGCTAGACTTTGAGCGTCGATTGTTGCCAATGACGGGCAAAAGGGATTCGACACCACGATTTATAGCAATAGAGTAATGCCGGCCGTTGCAGACCTTGCGCCCTCTGTGTGTGTGCGGACGCTACATGCGTTTGGCACATGACATTGCCCAAGCTTTCCTTCTGCGTGCGGTGGCACAGCCACGAAGCAGGTTTTCCCAAAGAAATCGGTCAACCTTAATCGGGGAGGGATGCGCCAAGGGGTGGCCAGCCAGCCCCCAAAAGCTGCAGCCCAATAAATGAATCCAACACCAACAGACCTGCAGTCGACGCGGAGGCTGAAGCACTAACACGTCACGGCAACTTTGCGTGGGCGTGCCGCGTGGTTGAGGCAGATTCTACGGTGATATGAGAAGTGGGAGGGCTAGAAATGTAGCACGTAGTAGTGTAAAGGAATTAATATTAAACAGGGTCAAAGGGAATTCCACATGTGCTCTGAATATAGCTAATTAGCGTATATGCGTTATAACACTACCCCCTAGGCTAGCCTATATAGCTATAAGTCAGGCTGCCTATAGATATATAGTAATGATATAGCTTTTACTTCTTACCGAGCCTTAATAAGCCTCTACACCTCTCTATTAAGTTATATATATTACTTTATAAACAATAGATTCTTCTCTTAATTATATTAATAGAGTTTGAATTATATGCTATAAAGTATAAGTTATATACTAAAGGTAGATTGATTAAGTAGAAAAAGGATAGTTAATCTAAATATCCTGAAATAGCTAGTTAATTATCTTAAATACATATGAACGCGGCTACTCCTTGAAATATATATATAGCTTAATTAATTATAGCGTTATTGGTACTATTATATCGTTGTAATACTCATATGTTACGCGAAGATTATATAAGAGTTTAGGGTAGCTTTTAGAATTTTATTCTTTTTATATTTATAACTATAGTAAGATAGATTAGGTAGGAAGAGAAAGTATAGGTTATATATTTATAAAACTCAAACTTATTTATTCCTCTATAAGTAGAAGTGTGACGTTCGGGTCTAAACTAGCTACCGGGTAGATAGAATAGCAGTCGGGTTTGAACTGAGTACACTAGGATGTCGTTGACTTAAGCGGTCGGGTTATAGCCTATATGCGAGATAGTAGATCTTACGTAGATAATTATATTAATAGCTAAGGAGCTAGTAGAGACTGACTGTAGTAAAGCTGGGCTTCCTATATACTAAGTGAATATTATATAGTCGACCGTAGTCGACTATTGTTTACGAGCGCCTTTATAATATAGTCGACCGTAGTTATCTAGCGGCTATAATCGACTACTATACTTAGTGCGTATAATAGGAGGAAAAAGTAGGGGGTACGTGAGAGGCGTATACGGTCGTATATCGGGTTATAATATAATATCTCCCCTTCCGAGATTCTGTCCTAGAATTAATCAAAACCCGTTAGTTGCCCTTACGTGAGTTATATTCGTTAACTTCTTCCTTCTATTATACCTAACCGTGTGCAGAAACGTCCGCCTGCCCATAAGAAAGCTAACGACTCGTATCGCGCTATCCTAATTAAGGCCGTCTATCTTAACGGTTCCGAGAGCGAGATACCCTATACTCGTTATTACCGCGCGAAGCGTGTTTATCGTATAAGTAGTGACTCTCGTTATTATACTTCGTATATCGAAATAAAGAAGACCTATAATAGTACTAGTATAGCGTCGTATCGTGGGTGCTATATATCCGTCGTGCGTCGGGTGTGCTAACTTTATATTTTAGTAACGCGTGCGGTGTCTAAATAAAAACGAGTAGAAGTAGATTTAGAAAAGTCCGAGAGGGAGCTTTAAGAAGCTCTAGGGCGCGTCTAGCGCCTTCGTCGCTAGCGAGAACTATTTCGTAATCGTACTTCGGAGCTAGTATCTCGTGGTATACGCGAACTTAATAAAGAAGATAGGGTTCGTTCTTAGGAGGAAGCTATTATCGAGGAGTAGTAGGTAGTTAGGCGTGCTTAGGAATTAGGGGCCTTCGGGATTATTAATTAGTCCGTAATACCCGATATATTTCTTTTTAATAATACTATCGTAATAGGTGGCGGTAGTTCTTTAAATATTTAGGTAGTTCCTATATATTCTCGTTACTTACGTAGCCTTTTTACTTAATAAGGTACTTAACTTCTCCGTTAATTACTTATTTATCGATAATTCGTTCTAGTTCGTAGAGTTCTTCGAGAACTTCTAATTCGTACTTAGTTTTTATATTTTATAATACCTTTTTAAGAAATAAGATATAAAAAACTAAGTATATCCTTATACTTAAGGGTAATAAAAGTTTATAATTAATATCTAAGATAACTTCGTTAACTTTAAATAGTCTAAGTTTTTTATAGTCGAGCTTCGATAAAGGTCGGGTTATTATAAAAATTTTTCGTAATAAGTAAACTATATCTCCCCTTCGAAAGATCAGTCCTTTCGATCTTTTTTTATTATAGTACTTTAATATTCGTATACGTACGAATTCGAGTTATTTTTTTATATATTCGTATAAAGAGCGTAGTTAATTTACTTTAAGTATTGCTTTTTTAGCCAGGGGTCTATCCCTTAGTATTTTACTACCGAATTAGGGTTCGTATCCGTAGTTCGCGTAGAATAATAAGACTTAGGTTAATTCCGTAAGTACGCTATTATAAGCGAGTTAGGCGAGTAATAACTTCGAGACCTAATCGTTTTATTCGTAGTTAATATAGCACCGTAGGTATTATTCTAATATTTAGTTTAATCTCTCTATTTATCTATCCGTCTAAGGGTAATAAGCTATACTAAGCTTATACTTAGTACTTAATTAAGCTATTAGGGCTTGCTAGAATTTAGAGGTAAATATTATTCCTTTATCCGAAATAATTTCTTCCGGAAGACCGTGGTTAGCCACGATATATTTAAGTACGGTATATATAAGCGTCTTTATATCCGTTATTTCTTAATATAGTAGGAAATATCCGAATTTGCTTATTCGGTCTATAATAACGAATATACTATTATATTCGACGTTAGATCCTAGTTCGATTAACTTAGGTAGCTTCGTGATATAGTCGAAGGCTATTAATTCCTATAGTCTTAAAGGCACGGGTAGTGGCTTTAGTTCTCCGTATAGTTTATATCGAGTAGCCTTACTACGTATATAATCTTTATATTACCCGACGATACGTATAACGTCTGCCTTAATTCCTTAGTAATCATACGTTCGTTAAATTCGTTTAAGAGTCTTCCTAACTCCTTAGTATCCTGCCGTAGGGTGCGCGTGGATATTAGTTAAGATTTTATCGCGTAACGGCGGTGGTATCTAGAGTAGTCTATTCCTAGTAGGTCCTTTTCCTATCTTTATTATATAATCGTTAGGTATTTCCTTTATATACTTAGATACCTAATCTAGTATTTTATCGTAGTACGTAGTATCTATTTTAACTCTATATATAAGGAGGTTAAGAGATATTTATATATAGTTTCCTTCCTTATTTTTCTAAAGTATCTAGCCCTTAGCTTTTAGTACTTTAGTATCGTAGTCCGGTCGGCGACTAAGAGCGTCTACTCTATTATTTTCCGATCCCTTCTAGTAGATAATCTTAATATCGTAGTCCGCTAGGAATTCCATATAATAGATTTATCGCTTATTAAGTTCTTACGTAGTAGCGAAGTAAGTAATATTTTAGTAATTAGTATAGACTTTAGTTATAAACTTGGTTCCTAGTATATAATACTTAAATTCCTTTATAGCGGATATAATAGCTAAGAATTCTTTATCGTATATAGGGTAGTTTAGTTCTATACTATAGAGTTTCTTTAAGAAGAAAGCGATTAGTCTTAGGTTATTATTCTCGTCGCGTTAGCTAATCTATACTCTTATAGCGTAGTCTAATATATTAGTTTCTAATTTAAGTAGTTTATCCGGATCGAAGGTTATAAGAACGGTGTTTAATAAGATAGTATCTCGTAGTTCCTCGAACGCTCGTTTTTATTCGTTTCCTTATTCGAATAGTATTTCTTTTTTCGTGAGTTTCGTTAGTAGTGCTACGATTGTTATAAAGTTACGTATAAAACGCCTATAGTAGTTCGCAAAACCTACGAATACTTATACTTCTTTAAGATTATTTTTTAGTTTAGGCCAGTCCTTGATTACGCTAATCTTCGTTTACTCTATTAGGATTTTGTTTAGTTAGATAGTATGCCCTAGGAAGATGGTTTCTTGTATATAGAACGCTCTTTTTTAGGTTTATTAAGAGATTTATATTTTAAAGTGTCTTTAGTACCTAATAGATATATTCCTTATATTCTTTAAGGGTATCCGAGAAGATTAGGATATTATCTAAGTATACTATAACGAAGATATCTAAGTTCTCCCTAAGTATATTATTTATTATTCGCTAGAAAATAGCTAGAGTATTAGTAAGGCCGAATAATATTACTAAATACTTGAATAGACCGAGTTTTATATAGAAAGTAGTTTTCTATTCGTCTCCTTTTTTTATATAGATTAGGTTATAGGCTCCTTTTAAGTTAAGAGCGGTAAACTAGTTCTTACCATAAAGTCTATCCTTAAGCTCGTTAATATATAATAAGGGGGTCTAGTCTTTAATCGTAATATCGTTAAGCTATCGGTAGTCTATAACTAATCGTAGCTTACCGTTCTTTTTTAGTACGAATATAATAAGGTATCTTATTTCTAAAGTAGATAGTCGAATATAGCCCTTTTCGAGTATTTCGTCGATATATTCTCGTAATACTTTAAATTATTCTCCGTTAAGGTTATAGAGTCTTTAGTGCTTAGTTAAAGTA